CACACACACACACACACACACACACAGAGAAAGAGAAAAAGAGAGAGAGAGAGAGAGAGAGAGGCGATGACACTCACTTTTCCTTGAAGTCGATTTCTGGATCGACCTGGATCGAGCCAAAGTGCGATTCAGGTTGGCTGGATCCTTCGTTTTCTCGGTCGGGCCCCACCGACGAAATTCGTATTCGAGGCTCAGGCGAGCTTCTGCCGGAGCACGGAGCCGAGCGGAATGAAGCGAGCGGAGCGAACGAGCGAGCTAGCCGCTCTCTTCGGCTATTTTCAGCCACGAGCCGAGCCCGCGTTGGCTCTCCTCACGCGACGCGACGTCGTTCCTTCGCGTTGCACGCGAAGCACACCGTGTTGCTCTAGCTTCTTACCTCCACGGTGTCTCCTTATCCCCCTTTAACGAAGAAAGACAGAGAAATCCAATAACAAACGGGTTTCTCAGACGATCTCGTCGAAATTTTCTTAAAGCCGTCTCGGTAGAGCAACGTATAAATTAACTCTCCCTGACTTTTGTCTGGTATTTCGTGCTTTTGGATTCAATTACATGCGCATATGTATTTGCATGACTAACAGAAGGTTGTTATTTATTGTTGCAACATTTATATTTGCGAGTTTCATTGAGCCGGTGCTGCGATTTCGCAATCGTCTCGCCGCCGCTGGCGATATCTGCCAGGTTGTCGCGTATCGATGTCGAGAAGAAATTCGATTCAAGCGTGCGGGGAGAGTTCCGACAGTGGTCGGACGATGCGTCTTCTACGAAGCCACGCTCGCCACCGACCGAGAGTAAACCTCCGGTATATTGATCAGGCACGTTTCTGCTCGACTGTTGGTACTCGGTCGCGTGTCTCTCTCCAGCAGTGAATAAAGTAGAGTTGGATTTTTTTTTTTTCGGCATACGTTTTTTTAACGACCGCGTGACACCAGATGGCGAGATCGTTCAATGTATCGTCGTATGTCCGACGAAGGAGGTACTTCCTCGTTTGCGAAGATGAAACGTTTCTCAAATTTGTTTTTTGGAACGCGATCTTCTCGCTCCCGCGTTTTCATTACTTGGTTTTCAGGTATCGTTCAACCTCAGTCGATTGCGATCTACGCGATCGAAACTAGCGTTATAAATCTCTTGCCTCTGTTTGCTCCACGCGACCTCGGATAGCCGAGCTACTG